CCTTGACAAGGACGGCAGCTTCTCTGGTTCCTATTTGCCAGGGCCTGCAGCCAGCGACCCCAAAATCCTCAGCTCACCACTGGAGGGGTCCCAGCAGGATGCAGGACTGGTCCCACAGCCCACCTTCTCCTTCACTGTGTACTGGCGGCTCCAAGGTAGGCAGGACGGGGCCGTTGCTCTGCAGCAGCGATGCCAGCAGGACCCAGGGAGGTGGCTTCATGCCTCATCACCCCATCTCATGCTTTCTTGGACCCTTCCAGACTTGGAGATGGCCCGGATGACTGCTTTCCTGGGCCAATGCTATGTGGGCACCAACGGAGAGGAGACCCTGCACACACTGTGGCTCATGCGAGAGGCAACTGAGAGCCCTGCTGAGGACTGGAAAGCCACTTGGTGAGCATCACGTCCTGACCTCCTCTATGCTGAGCTTTCCTGCATCCTGGGGCTGGAGAGGGGAGGAATCCCATGGGATGAGGTATGGTGGGACTGAGGGGGTGAAATGGGTTTGTCACTTGTGATGAGCAGGGGCTAAGGAGCATCCTTGTGACCTGGCCAGCTCCTGTGTCCTGGGTATGTCCCAGGGTGGGTGACCCCAGGACATGGTCTGGCCCCACCCAGACCCCTCTGGGAGTCTTCTTGCACTCTGCCCAGCACGGAGAGAGCAGGACATGGTGCCAGTACCTCGTGCAGCCTCCACCACAGGGTGCTGGAGTGCTGGGCATCCTACTCAGTGCCCAGTGGGGCAGCAGGGGACACAATGCACCCCCACCCCAAAGTTTCCCCTCTGTACCCACCAGTATAATGTAGGTGACCCCAGTTGGGTGAACCACAGTGATTTGGGGTTTTCTGCAGGATTGGCACCAGCATTTTCACCCGGATAAAATAACAGCGAGTGGGAACACCCAGGAGGTCCAGGACTGCAAGGAGATGGTGCTTCACCCGGCCAGGCTCTGCCCCTGCTGATGAGCTGCGTTTCAGCAGATCTCAAGCCCACAGGTTCATGCTTTCCCAGGCAAGTCCATCTCAGCATGAAAGCTGGGCAGCAGACACAAAATAAAGGGTTTCTGTGGGGATGCAGAGCCTGGCTCTGGTTTCTGCCCTGCCTCAAGCCCCTTGGGTTTGTCTTGCCCTGCAGACATTTGTGCATGGGGAGGTTTTGTGCAGCATCACCAAGGGCAGCATGGTCCCTAGGGATGGGGCTGTCCCATGTCCCCTGCCTGGCAGCAGGCAGCACCGCTGCACCTGCAGAACTACCACTGTGCTGTGGGTAACTTATCCCTTGGGGTCCCTCCCAAATGTCCCCAGGGGTACGAAGTAACCCGGGCTGTGTCCAGGTGGTGGGATGAGGCACAGCCTCTGTGGGACACCGCAGGCAGCATGTCCCAGGGCTGCAGGGCAGGCTCCAGGGAGGTTGTCCTCGGTGTGAGCAGAGCGGAGGAAGTTTCTCAGGCACCTCAATGCATGGGGCGGCTGCAAATGGCTTTTGCAGAGCCTGCAGCCTCCCGTTCCCAGGCCTGGCGGATGCGCTGCGGTGGCTGGTTGCCAACCATCCCATGGGTGGGACAGCCCATCCCAAGAGAGACCTCTCCGCAGGGCCAAACAGCCCATCCCAAGAGAGACCTCTCTGCATGGCCGTGTCCCCTGAGCAATGCACACATGGGGGTCCTCCAGCCAAGCCCCTGCTGCACCTGCCAAGCCCCTGCCAAGCCCCTGCTGCACCACGCGTGGCCAGGGAAAGTGAAGAGCGGAAGGATGCCTCTGGCACTGGCTGGGGGGTTTTTTGGGCATTTTCCGCCCTAACTCT